ACACACACACACACACACACACACACACACACACACACACACACAAGTTGGTTTAGATCTTTACAAGAGAAGAACAGGTGACTTCATAGAGTGACCGGGAAACTACAAAAGGAGAACTTGTCTGACCTATGCTCCACTGCCTCTTTCGGGCATTGTCAAACTGCTGGCGCAGTACCAGGAAGTCGATGACATCAGGCATGTCGTGGTATCTGCAACGAGACAAAAACATACACGAGTTAGCAAGATAGCAAGAAAGCAACTAAAGAATGAGCAGAGCCACCATACAAACAGTGTAAAACAGATGAAACACATCCAATCTGAAGTGGCAGTTTACCATTCCCCCTAACAGTCTTTACTTTATAATGCCAGTCAAGATTACTAACTTAAATGTTTTAATAGCTATAGTCTGGTCTTGTGTTAAGATGAGATTTAATTAAGAAATGTTACATTCAATCTTAACAGAAGAGCCCCGGGTCTACTTTTCAAGGAACTAAAAGGGTCCTTCGGCCCTTTTTTACCGCTGCATAGCATTTACTGATACATGTTGGATGTAATGAAAGAGAAGCAGCGGAGGAAGATTAAACTAAGAGCGTCTGTTTCCACAGTAAATCCTATGTTGAGTGTTTGAAGGTCGTTTATTTGTGCTTTAGAACGTAACCGCCGGGAAACTAATCGGAAAATAACTTTTTTCTCCCTCATTCACATCACCGCCACACTTTCTCTCCCTCTCGCCCTGTCAGCTCACTTGTGCGATCTCTCTCTCTCTCTCTCTCTCTCTTTTTTAAATGAGTCGGGATGCCAACAGCAAAGTCTAACTTTAATTTAAATGTTATCAAACAGAGAAGTGGTCTTTCCTTGTTTTATGGATGAAGAGGTACACGAGTTGAAGCGAAAACGCTGCGTGTGTGTGCAGCTACGGTCATCCCTGCAAACCTCCCCACCCCGAATGCTCTTGTGCTTTCAGAAAGTACCCCCCCCCCCCCCACTCAGGAGGGCCTTTTTGAGGGGTACAATATCCCTGGAACTTAATTTAGACCTGCTCCCTGCAAAAGGGAGTCCATGGAGAAAGTTCCTGCGGTCGAAAAAGGGCTATAAATTATGAATAATTTCACACTGTCAGCATCGAAAATGTGCATATTGTTGGAAAAAACCTGTGAAAAAGTTTAATCAAATATAAAATATGTCAAAATATAAAATAGCACATGTGCTGTATACAAATAGCATGAGTGTCGTCACGCATCAGGAATGAGTATCAACACTTATTGTTAATATCAATCATCAAACGCCTGGGCTTTTCTATTATTATCCTCTGAAGCTCTTGTGGGAGGCGGCGTGAAACGCTTACTTCATGGAGAAGGATCCTCCGGTCAGTTTGCCGGTGTCGGGGTCCAGGAAGGAAAGCTTCAGACAGCACAGTGTGGGCAAGCCGACCTCGTACTTGATGCCCACTATCTTCATCAACTCCTGCTCCTGAACACCACGAATAAAAGAAGAAATAATGAAAAGTAATACCGCGTATTTCCTCTCAGTAAAAGTCAGTCACATCCCTTGGAGCCCTGTTTGCTTGAACAAAGTTCAGTGCACTCTATTAATAGATTTCCTTTCCGGTGGGGTGTGTTATGAAGGCTGAGTGCCAGCAGTGCTACAGTAAGTTCCTCCAGATCGGCAAAAGTGAAACTGGAGAGTTTTGCTGTAGTGTTGAGATACCCGTTTGTTCAAATCACAATAAAAAAAAGATATAGATATACGCCTCAGGCTATACATTCATGAAGATGCACAAGGTGACATGCAATGCATTGTGGTCTGCACAGAAACTGATGGTGCTGCCTGCACACATGGAAAAGAAATGAAGAATATACAGGAAGAAATGTGTTTCACAAGTTGTTACTTTGAAGTGTCTTGTGTTTTTTCTTTTGTCTTTATGTTTCATATACTGAGATGGAACTTTGTACTCTGCAGACATTTCCCTTTCAGGGGAGGTATGGGAGGTATATTTTTAGGATGGAAAAGGGATTTAAGTTCACATGAAAGTGAAACCAGACAGGTGCCGGCGGTGAAGAAGAAATACCGCTGAGAGGTTTGTGTGTGTGTGTTGAATTGTTAATAACAATGAAAGAACAGTGAAAGATTACATCAGTGTAGCTTGCAACTATGTAGCAATTCCTAGGAACCGCTATGTATTCACACGAAGACTGAGTGCCATTTACTTATCTCTACTACTCTCTTTAGCCCTTACTTTATGAACATCATTAACAGAGGAATGATGCTGAAAACATGATGTTCTTAATGAGTTATTAATTCAGCTGTACGAATGCAGCTCCTCTGTGTAAAGACTGCATTGATTTGTGCTTCATGCACGTACGAGGATTTGTACAAAGGGCTGCTCCTCGGCGATTGTGTGCACACAAATAAAGGACACAATGTGAATCTCCAGACAAACGAGATCTAACGAGAGTCTTAAATGCATCTTAGTCAAACTGTTCCTTACCCGTAGCTCCATCTTGTGCCAGGGCTGCTTCTTGGGATTGATGCTGTAAATCTTCTTTTGTTTCGCCATCTCCACATAGGCTTCATGGCCCTGTCTGAAGTAGTATAGCTGCACACACACACACACACACACACACACATGCATCATTTAAAAATAAATACCACAGGATGCACAGTTTCTTATATATTTTTCTGGTACATTATGTGTATTTTTCTGGCATGCAACTCTGCTTGAAAATATGAAACTTGTGTCAACAGCATTTGAGCAGCTGAGGACGGCAATGTCAGCGTGTCCCTCATCTCCTTGTGTGTAATGGCCGTCGCAGCCTCACGGGGGCCGCTCGCTTTGGTGCAGCAGACTCGACCTTGTTGCTATGTAAAACTCGAGCCAGTGTTTTGGTATGAGCAGACATGTGGTGGGCATGTGGAGAGGACGCAGTAACGGGAAAAACAAGAGTTGTGTACCTCGTCTCCCATCTGGGGTATGTAAGGACATCTCCGGGGGACTGTGTCTGTGATCCAGGCAGAAGGAAGCCACTCCTCCAGAGTCAGCCCTTGCTCCTGAAACTCTGTCCTCTGAATGACACACCATCAAATACATATTCACTGACAGACCTTTCATATAGTGGAGATTTTGCATTACGTTGCACTTGTGTACATTTTTTAATCTAGGGTTGCAACTGTCAATATTTTCAGTGTCATTTAATCTGTTGATTACTTTCTTCATTAATCAATTAGTTGTTTGGTCTATAAAATGCTGATTAGTGTTCCCCAGAGCCCAAGATGACTTCCTCAAATGTCTTGTTTTGTCCACAACTCAAAGACATTCAGTTTTATTTTCACAGAGTAAAGAAACCAGAACATTTAAACTGGAATCAGAAACTTTTGGCTTTTTTTCTTAAAAAATAACTGAAACCGATAAATCAATTGAAAAATAGTTGTTGATTAATTTAATAGTTGACTACTAATGGTTTAATCGTTGCAGCTCCAGTTTAATCTGGGTACTCATTTGTACAAATGGCTGATGGGTAATTACTTTGAATCACAGCAACAGTAAGAGTAACGCCTGAAGCTACAAGGAGGAAAGAAGACAAACCTTCCTCTTCTCCTTTGGCTGCTGCTTCTTTGGTAACACCTCGTCCTTGTCTGCTTTGTCTTTCTTTCTCTCTTTCTTCCCGTCCCTCTTCTTCTCTCCGTCCTCCTCGGAGCCGCTGCTTTTCTTCTTCACTTTCACGCTCTTCTTGGGCGGCTCGAGGTTGATCCCCGCGTCCGCCGTCCAGTCGGAGTAATCGCTGGAGTAGTCGCTACGAAACGCATCGCGGGGACAAGATTGAATACGCAGCAGATGCATCTGCTTGTGTTCATGTTTTGATCTGCGCGTAGTGTGTGTGTGTGTGTGTGTGTGTGTGTGTGTGGGAGATAGTCGATATGATGAACGCGTGTGACTTCTTACCTCGAACTACTGTGGTCATCCGGCCAGGGCTCCTTTTGCGCCTCCTCCTTCTCCTCCTCTGAGGAATGCCCGTTGATTTGACGCACCTCCACCTCTCCCTGGGAACACACATCATGTCATGTTAGCACTCTGAACTATGAAGACAAACACAAACAGAATCAGTGAAAGAAGGAAAGGAAAGGTATCAGAAAGCTGCTGTATGATAGACAAAAGGGTGTCCGTCTTAGCTAGGCTGTTTGGTGTGCAATGGACAAGAGATGTGTGAAGTGGTCCTGAGCAGAGCTACACCTTCAACACTCAAACTACCAGAATGACCATATTTGATACAATATCTGGATATAATTTCCATAGTCCCTATAAAATCTTAGAATAAATGGATCTGTAATGTAGCCTCGCTCAATGACCTGCCCACAGCAATGTTTGATTGGTTACATGTCGAGAGTAACAGCCCATCGACACGGACGGTGCCTCCGTCGGTCGAAGCTGCTCCGTTAGCGAGCAGAGCTGTGTGTTGAACGTGAGACAGCAGGTAGTGCTGAAGCTGCAATAAACATCACAGAAATATACGCAGTAACAGTAGTGCGAACACCCAGACGACGCATCGACGCGGCCGAGAGATGCGATCCATTGACCGGATTATCATAGTTTATAAAAATGCAGCGCAGCGAGGACACAACCACTTCATACACCAGACGTATTGAACGCGACCTGCCGATGCGCATTGGACCCGTTCAGGGACTCCAGTCTGCAGTGTTGTTCTTACACTTCGCTGGAGAAACCAGAGAATTGCACAGGAACATTGGGCTTATGGGCTAAAGTTATTACTGCATATCAAATGGTCATATTCATATTCTACGTAAGGGGCGATGTACATCACCCTGCTTATTATCTATTAGTGAAGACAATCTGTGCTTTACAGAAGGGTTTACCACACATCTGCCCCACAAAGTATGAAATAAATTCATCGTTTCTACCTCCGAGGTGTCTTCGTCGTCATCGGCAGCCTCGGCGCTCTGGCGGCTCGTCTCCTCCATGGCGGCACGCGTGTGGTAGCCGTGGTTACCCTGGCTCCTCCTCGCTTCGTCAACCGACTCAGATGTCTGATGACCCTGAATATTAATTCCACAAGAAATCTCTATTAAAAATGAAGCTGAAGTGCCTTAGAAATGTTGCATAAAAAGTTACATTAAAAGGTTATTGGATGATGAATATATTCCTGTGTGTGTGTGTGTGTGTGTGTGTGTGTGTGTTCACTCACCCTGCTCTCCTTAGGGAGGGAGTGGATGGTACGTCGCCTCCTTTCTGACTGATAAATATTGATCTCCTCCTCCCCTTTAGCCTCACGCCAGGTGATCTGTCTCCTACACAATACGCACACACAAACACACAAACACACAGTCATGACATGCGTCAGTGCACATCACGTCCAAAGACAAAAGGTTCCTCTCTGTGAGATCCGTTTTTTTGTTCTGCGTTACCTGACGGAGGCGTCCTCCAGCTCGGGGACCAGCACCCTGCGGCTCCAGGCCACCAGGTCTCCCTCTGTGGCCATCTGGCTGAGCGGGGCGTTACTGTGCATCTGGCGGACGCCCTCGATCTGCCCGCTGCGACGCAGACCCACGTTGGGCGGAGAGTGCACCTCCGTGGGCGAACCCACCGATCCTGAGGGAAAGAGAATGGAAAAGAGAGAAAAACTGGCTGGTAAACAGTGTGTTACTAACCTTTTGCTAGCCCGGAAATCTAACCTTAAGAATTTAGAATTTTGAACTCGGACACTGAACTGCCCTGCAGGTGAGAAGCTGCCCACACTACAATAGTAGGAAACTTCCCGTCATGACGCGGCCTTACCTCTGTTGGACCTGGTGTCATTTGTTCCCAGTCTCTGGTCCTGTTCCTGCAGCAGCCTCTGAATCATCGTGTCCAGAGGACTGGAACCGTCCACCGCCTGCTCACTCACCACTTGGTTCAGGCCTGACACACAGACAGCAGAGGAAGAAGAGAGAGGGAGACTTAAAAAGTGAAAGAAAGACCGAAAGGCGGTTCTGGTCATAACTGGATGTACGCGTTGCTTTATTGCATTCACTTCTTAACGAAGTGACGTTAAGAAGTGACGCGGAAACTCACTTATATAATGTACTGTAGAAAAATATTGAACGCTTTTGCATTTATGACTATTGTAGAAGTACATTGTAGTTTGAGTATACTGCTGACTGACTAGTATGCAGTATACTCAAGGTTAGGTTAATACTATTCGATATAATGTGAGCATGTATGCTCACATTATATAGAACTGTGGGCACCCCCCGCTGTGCACCACCAATGCACTTCATTTAATAAACTACTGTTTCTGTTTGCATCGCTGCCAAGATTTTAAACTGCTCCATTCATTCTGGTTTTAATTGCCATTGCTGGTGCAGTTTCAGTAAAAGCCTCTCATTGAGCACATTGGAGAACAGATCACATTCTTGTCGGGCCATGAGAGCAGTGTGATCGGCTTTGATCAGCTGACGATTAGACGGAAAACGACAGCGTCGCCTCAAAGTAAAGATCTGATTTGAAGCCTACAAGCAGACAAAAGGGGAAGAGTAGAACTACAACTGAGTTCCTTCTCCTGAGACCTCGCAGGGTCTGATTTTCAGCCTCCGTACCTGAGGAAGTGACCCCCATCTGCGGGATGAGCTGCTCGTCCCTGCAGCCCTCCCTGCCGGGCACCAGCCGCTGGTATCTGGGGGGGTGGGGGTTCCCGTCCACGTCCACCAGGAAGGGAGGGGGCATCAGGTGTGGCGCCTGCTGAGTCTGCTCGTCCAGCACGTAATTGTTGGCATCCCGGATCAGCGGCCGGTAGTCGGTATGGAAGAACATCTGGTCCGCTATCTGAAGGGACAAGGTACATTTTACTTCTAGATGTTTTCAATGAGGGCATAAGGGTTATTCCATCACCCATTTCGGGTGTAGTGACATCTGTTATTACCGATGACATCAATTATGTGAGTTGCTGGTAAAGTCAGGTGCGTGGCTGAATATTAAAGGTGACCCTGACGCGTTACCTTGTCGTACTTGCTACTGGAGCCGAAGCCAAAGATGAGCAAGTGTCCATGGGAGTCGGTGGCTGCAAAATGCTGCCCATCTGGACTACATTTGCAGTCAAACAGCGCTCCATGCCCTTGGCCCTCGATCTATTCACACACACACACACACACACAGAGACAGAGACAGACAGAGAGAGAGAGAGATGGGAAATGGTGCACACTGTAAATCACAGTATTACACTACCAAGGGGAATACCAAGCAGCTGTAGCAGTTGTATGCAATCAACTTAAACGGTCTAGTACACAAGATCAAATGCATAAGACACATGTATGGAACTTACAAGTGCTGAGCTACAACATGTAACTTCAATAATAAATGGGAAAAGCAATAGGGGCATACGAGCGATGACATCCACTATTACAGAACCTGAAACTTCATCTACAGAAAGTAGAACTGGTCCGTTGCCTTTAGTTCCTTCTGTGCGTATTCCTTCGCCCTCACAAAAACTCCATTCAACCACACGATTGAAAAAAACTCTGAAGAAATGTTTTCAGACTCTGCCAACGCGCTAAACTCAGATGAACCTGACGGAGCACTGTACTTTCAATCAACTTCCACTTATATTCAGGAAAGGTGCACGAGCTCTTAGCCTGCTGGAGGTCAGGCAACTTCAGAGGCTGTTGAATAGGGGGCGTTAAAAGTTCACGTGGTCAAGTTCGAGAAGGGCTGCCGGAGTAGCAGCACTGATGAAACAGTGTTTAAAGAGGATCTGGCAAAGTAACATTGAGCAGAGCACGTCGGCTGCAACAAACCGTCGTACTGCAGAGGATGTGTTTCATACACGATGCAGCCGGTGGATTATGTTGCGTGTAAACGTAGCAGTGCAACTCAGCAGTGAACTGTAGCTTATGGTTGCTGGTATGCTGACACCACGTTGTAGTGGTGGTTTCCCCCGACCCCTCGATGCACGCCACACAGATTCACTGCATAAGAAAGCACTACATCTGTGTCTTCAGCGTGTGAATGTAGCCAGAGAGAGGCTCACGAGACGGAGCGGCTCACCATGTTGAAATAGGAGCGGATCTTGACTCCCCTGGCCAGGTCCCACACAATGCAGTTCCCATCATGCCCCGCTGAGAACAGGATTCTTGGGTCAAAGGGGTGCGGCTCCAGGACAAACACCTCGTCCTCGTGACCCTGTCATTAAAAAAAAAAAAAACATGATCATCTAGATTAAGAAATGAAAAGTTACCGCCTCGCTGCTGCATGCCTCCACCAACCGTCACGTCATCATTTTATCCTATTAAACATTTGTGTTAAATTGTCGGTGTCACCTTGTAGTTTTGTTTTTGCTTATTAATAAATGATGCATACTTTGTATGCATACTCAGGACAAGTTACTGTTTTTGTGCTCAAAAGTATATCGAGTACCCAACTGAAACTTGCAAGACACAATCAAATTCATGACATTTTGTTATTAATGTCCACATTTACTTTAAATGTCCCATGTCCTTGAATGCATCACTAGTAACAGTCAGACAGTCCCTAACAGATGCATTATCATGTAGCATTGCATTAAAGAAAACAGTTCTGAGATGTTCAGGATGACAGATTGTGTGTCACAGAGTAAGAAAAACTGAATTGCAGGTTGTAAGATTTACAATAAAATGCCATTAAAGGCTGCGGGTTGAGGGGTAGATGCGTTAAACCATCAAGATGGCAACCTGTTGTTGCAATAAATAAATAAGTGATCAAAAAAAAAGGCAGTAAGTTGAATTCCTGCTGGCGTTTACTTTTGATACCGTGTTTGCATGTGAATGTGTTTCACCACCACGTACCATCAAGACGTGGACGAGGTTGCCAGTGGTGGAGTTCCACACCTTCAGCGTCAGATTGTTGGCCGCCGTGATCACCATGCCGTCGTGGCGATCCCACGCCACCATTGTAACCTTCAGCTTGGTCACCTTGTCTTCCAGCGGAGGAGGGTTGTACTTCCTGAAGGGGAGACGGCGATGCGCTGATGTCATGTTTGGGCCAATTAAGGTCAGTTTTTAAAAACAGTGAACAATTAGTCACCTGGCCACTCCTGCTAAATGAATCTAATACCAAACTCTTTTGTTATATTGTGAAGATTTAAGTCCATTAAACATTTTCCCAGCGTTTTGTATTGTTTTTCACTTTTTTATCATAATATCTGAGCTTCCGTGGCGTTATCACATATTCTATACAACCATGTTGTCTTCGAGTCTGTATTCATTCTCATTGCTGTCTCATGTGTTCATTCAGGCAATAACCACTTAAACAGCCAGTGTCTTCTCCATTCATTGCCGTAGATCCGTATTCTGTCTGTGAGCAGTCGCTTGATCAATCACTGTGTCTCACTTCCTGCCACAGCTGTGACGGTGTTGGTGCCTTTTCTTTAACTGAATTATCTGTGTGCTGTGGATTATGAACTCAAAATAAATAAATGACGTCTGAATAATTGCAAGAGACGCATTTTTGCTGCTGGTACAAAAGGCATCAAGTGTCTTTGAAAAAAAAAAATCCTACATACATTTAGTTTTTACTTTAAAACAGTACATAATATCCACAGGGGACATTCACACACAACAGGTCTCGGGCCTTTGTATCCAACGTGATTGATTTTTGTCAAATTTAGATTGACATCGCCGCAGGATCATCCCAACCCACAACTGTGCACAGCGGTGCTGGTGGGAAAAGCCAGACTTTGACAGGCAGGCAGCCACACACACACACACACACACACACACACACACACACACACACATACCCGGGTAATTTGGTCTGCATGTCCAGCAGAATGCTCCTCCAGCCCTGAGGCTGCAGCTGCCAGATCCGTGCTGTACCATCCCTGCTGCCGCTTACAAACCTATAACACACACGGAGATTGGTCAACACATATTCATGCAGCAGCTAAACTGTAAATATAACACTTGGTTCTACTTCAGCTTTCTGCAATACAGTGAACGCTTTCATCTCTGCACAGCATGATACACTAATTGTATGTACCGCCCCCCCCTTCACCCCTCCTTTTTGCATAGACAGTCTACCTCCCTCACTGCTGAGATTACTGCAACCCAGGGGAATTACAGCTGAGCTTGTTTTTCTGCAAACTCCACATAGGCACACACAGTATAACACTCAGAGAGTGCATATGTGCAAGAGAGAGAGTGTGTGTGTGTGTGTGTGTGTGTGTGTGTGTGTGTGTGTGTGTGTTAGAGCGAGTATCAGATAGTAAGTAAAGGTGCTGTTTCTGCTGACCCCACCAAGTCACATTACAACACCCGGAGGTTCCATACAAACAGCGCTGCATACACAAAATTAACTTCACTTATTATGTAGCTCATGCACACATGCACGTGCACATCACACACACACACATCAACTATGCAAACCTACCTGTCACTGCAATGAGAGAACTGGATGCTGTCAACTTTGTCCTAGGTGAGAAAAATGCAGGAGTTGAGTCAAAACAGCGCAGTAAGTAACTAGTCTTCCAAATCATTTTATTACCTATTAATCATGTTTTAACAGTTTTAACATAAAAAAAAAAAAAAAAAAAAATCTTTACTCAAGGTCAACTTACTAGCTTTTTCCAGTGCTTTCAACTGCATCTCACCGTCTTCCTCGGTTGATGGAGTTTGCTCAGTTGTCATGGAGAATTATGAGCAGCCTCTCAGTGAGAACACCAACAATCTCCAGGACAACTCAGCAAGTCCACCTGCTGAGGACGTCCATGAGATACAGTTGAAAGCGCTGACGAGGAAAAAGCAAGTACGTGGACCTCGAGTCAAGAATTGTCTCAACTTAAACTTGTTGATTTCTGTAAAAAAAAAAAAAAAGAAAGAAAAGCTCTATGATGACTCACTGTATGGGATTCAAGTTCAGAGATCTTCTCTGGTTGGCCTAACCCGAAGTAGTACACCCGAATGATGTGATCCGTGCTTCCTGTGGCCAGGAACATACCACCTGGACACACACACACACACACACACACAGCATCATAGCAACAAAATACAATATATATCTATAAATAATACTGCTGGCGTTTCCCCTGCGGTGGTGAGATGTGCTCACCGGCGCTGAAGGAGGAGCAGATCATCTGGACACCAGGTCTGGAGCGCTCTGTGAATTTACTGGGCCTCTGACTGCACACACAGAGAATCAAACACATTGTAATATGAAACACACCGACTGAACAACCACTTTGTGTGCTTATAGTAGAAAAGCTTCTACAGGTGGGTACATCTGCTGCATTTTGCTTCCTTTACACGCTGTGGTACTTGAACAGGGACATTCAGCGCAGTCAAGTTCAACCTATGAAGCACCCAAGGAAGTGGAAATGACGGTAGCCATTAAAAGAAAGTGACAAATCAAACCCTAAATCCTTGTCAGAAGCATGCTGTCTTAAAGAATGTTCTGAGGAAATCAAGAACATTCAATAACAACTGAAAAAACAAACACATATATGACTGAATGAAGGTGTGAACGGTGCTGCGAGTACTGCGTCTGTGTTCCTCACCAGAACTTGAGCGTGCGTGCGTCCCACTGCCAGAAGCAGATGATGCCGTCGGCACCGGTGGAGGACAGGTAGCGCTTTGAGCCGCAACAGAGAGGCGAAAACTGCAAAGACGACCAATCAGAGGTTACAGCCGAGTAGAACGGGCAATGGAAAGACGTTGCTTACACTACAGCCCAAAGAAAGAAAGGACGATCAACCCGCAAGAGCTTCAAAAGCCTCCACACACACACACACAGAGAGATAAACGTGTAACAGGCACACAGTCCGACGGTCCTACCTGCAGTGAGGTGATGGAGGCCGTGTGTCCCTCCAGGACGGCCAGAGGGGCGCAGGTCTGTAAGCACCACACCCTGATGGTCTTGTCACAGGACCCGGCGGCGATCATGGTGTTCTCGTAGCTGACGGCCATGTCGGAGATCTCGGCAGCATGGCCGCGCAGCGTCGCCAGCAAACGGCCGTTGTCCGTTCCCCAGATCTTCACCAGGCAGTCGTCTGAGCCCTGAGAAAAGGAAGAAGAAAACACCACCGACACGGCTGTCAGACATGAGCGAAGACTAGCGTTTCATGTAGTCTGAGGAGCGGCGTGTCTGCTTCTGCCTCGCCTATCGTGAGACAAATTAAACATGTCAAGATCTAAAAGAGTGTAAAAATATATGTGTGCACAGAGCGGCCTCAGACTGTCAGCAGACTGACAAAGCTTGGAGCACAAACAGAAGAAGGAATGAGCTCCTCCAGATGCAGAAAATAGAGGTGAATAATCTGCAGCATGTTATAAGTGACAACCAACGCTTCAAGGCACTCGATTGTCGAAAACACCACTTCTAGGGCCGTCCTCTTCTTAACTCCACCACCGCTCATACCATTTTGTTGATTTTGCAGAGTTTCTCCACCGAGGATCACACAAAGGCACTGCTCTGAATCTTGCGTTTACCAGAGATGTGTTCGGAAGCTTCATGTCATTCAGCAGGAAAAAGTGTTTTAAAGAAATGGAGATTCAACTAAAGAAACCAAAACCAGCGATTAGTCGATTAAGAGGGGGCCGCCCTATTAACTTTATAAATGCCAAAAACAATAAGTACATTGTAATGCTTTCTATTGGCTTAACTACGTACAGCCGTACGTAGTTAAGCCGTTTATTGAGCGATTCATGTAAATGTGTCTTTTTGCAGGTAAACCTACTGAACGTCATGTTTAAACACAAGCGACGGGAAAAACAAACACACTGACTCGCTACCAGGACACTTCAGAACTGAGATGTTTCACATGGCGGTGAGATGGACCAGCAGCAAGTAGAACTGAACCAGAGACGACAGAGTACGCTACTATGAGGAAGCCCTCTTAGTATAATATTCATTACGAGTATTAAATTCAAAACTTTGCAAGCTAAGAAAGGAACACAAAAGTAATGCTTCAAAAAAAAAGCCCATAATAACGAATAATCCATAATCCATTAAGGCGAGCCCATAAGAAAATGTGGCTGCCTAGAGGCTGCTGCTTACAGTCTTTTAGTGAGGACTGAAAATGCACGATCAAGACCCTTAATCAAGACATGAAAACCGTGTGCGGGGACTTACAATGTCTGGCTGTGGTCCAGCTTGTAGGGGGTGAAAGGGTTTGTGATTCCACACGGAGCCAGGCCCCATCTGCGCCTTGATTACCATCTCCCAAAATAATGTTTCCAACCAACAGGTAGCCAGTGTCAAGATGCAAAAACACAGCCTGACATGATCTCATGCTTGGGTTTTTTTTGTGTGCGATTTATACAATTAAGAATTAAATAAGTGACTTGTGAAAAATACACAGAGCCACATCAGTAAATGAGGAGGTTTGAGGTTAAAGATGTACATTTACTAAATGTGGTTGCAGAATGTGGTGCTGACCTGATTATCATGTTTGGATATCAGACAGACTTGATGTGACTCCAGCATGGTGACACATCCATCCTTTTGTGTCTGGAAAGTATTTAAATAAATCATAATCAGTCGCTCTATCACCGGCGGAGCAGAGTGTGACTGGAGCTGTTGTTTTATGTGGACTGATGAAAACAGCGGGCGTTCCCTCGGCGATCTAGAAAAAAAGCTGAAGGACAAAATGCGGCTTTGGCAAGATGGACGAAAAACTGATATGCCTAGAGGACAGTCGGGCCTGAGTGCTGCAGCGTTTGGAGAGAGCCAGAGACTTGACGCTAACTTTCCTCGTTGCTCTGTAGATGTGAAGTTATGTCCGCTGCCGTCACAGGGACAGGCACAGCAGCTCGTCCACTTCGTCCTTCGCGGTGGCCGTGATTATGAGCTCGCAGCCATTTCTACAGCTGTGTCACACAAATCAATACAGCTGTTTGACGATCAATTGTTTAAGTAAACCGAGCTGCACTTGCTCATCAATCATCAAATCATCACAGTGAATGTTTAGGCTAAATAAAATAATCAATCGGTCTGTCTTCTGCTGCAGCAAAGTCAGAGTGGAAAAAACAGAACAGATCCGAAAATATATAAATAAAAATGATCTTGTGATGAAAGGAGACAGGGAGGGGGGGGGGGGGGAGAGAGAGCAGAGAGCAGAGAAAACAAAACAGGAGAAGGGGGAAAGCGAGGGAGACCAAGAACGAATTTTAATTCTGGCACTTAGCCAGCGCCTCTGAGGAAACATTTTCTCCAGTTATGATGAGAAATGGCAAGAAGAAGGGAGGGGGGGGGGGGGGG